TATCTTGGAAAGACGGAATTCCAAGATAAATTATCTTGGAAAGACGTCTTTCCAAGATACATCATCTTGGAATTCCGTCTTTCCAAGATAAATTATCTTGGAATTCACTCTTTCCAAGATAAATTATCTCGGAAATCCGTCTTTCCGAGATAAATTATCTCGGAAAGACGTCTTACTAAGTATTTATTCCATGTTTCCATGATAATTATCTTGGAAACTCGGAAACTCGGAAGGTCACTTTAAGCTTCCGTAGTTACCAAACCATTTGATGAGTTATATGAATAACATAAGAAATTATTACCGACACACAGATCATCAGAATAATATTCTTTCGCTTCCGATTCACCAAAACTTATCTGATGAATCAGTTTCGGTGACAAATAATAGTCACGGTAGTTATGACGACTTCACCAAACCTGGTTAGAATATTCTGATCGGATGATTGAAGACTGGTGCTGGTACCGAATAGAAATAAAAAGCATTTTATTTGTCACTGAAACTGATCAGTTAGTTATAATCGTTTATCTTGAGGCGATATGCAAACATACATTGAGACAACTACATAACTTGTTGTTTGCTGCTATTGTATATTTCGATCATTATTTGGTTTATATCCATTGTTACTGATACATTATTTTATTTGCAGGGGGTTTTTATCAAGACAATCGTGGATATGTTAAAACTGGTAATTTTAAAACCGACTGTAAACGGTGTATAAATGGAACATTTTCACCTTATCCGGGAGGTACTTCAATATTTGCTTGTCAGTCATGCCCATCGGGAACCAACACTGATGTAATGGCAGAACTTGATGCATGTCCATGCTTAGACAACTTTTATCGCACTTACCGCTACGGTGCATGTAAGTCGTGCCCAGAAGGCGTTGACTGCACAGGTGGTTACCAGAATTTGAGCAAGGGCTACGGGTGGTCGTGGAATTTTAGACGTCGTCCGAATCGTTTAGATGAGTACAACCAATTTATTCATAATCTTACTACTTCCAATTTCAATCTCTCTGAACCTAATAATTTAAACGACACAGTGTACACAGGAAATTTCCCAGTGGCCCATAAGTGTCCACGAAGTGAGAGTTGCCTTGGTGGAATTGAAGCAAATTGCTTGGAAGGTTATTCTGCTAATGTTTGGTTATGTGCTGAGTGTAGTGACCATTATTACGAATTATTCGACAAGTGTTACAAATGTCAGGATAAACAAATAATAGTAATAGCTCTGATATTGTTAATTTTTGTGCTCTTATTTGTTTCGTACCTTGTGTGGAGACTGGATAAAAGAAGAGGCGAGACAATACGCAACGACTCTTTCGTGATTCATCTAAAAATTGCCGTCAATTTCTATCAAGTGCTGGGCATTCTGTCTGAAGTTAATGAAATACATTGGCCAGATTCGTTTCAATCTGTTGGAGAGAGTGTCCAATATCTCGATGTAATACGTTATGTCAATATTCTGAGCCCAAGGTGTATTTTTCCTGGTGTTTGGAATGCTTACACATTTTTGTATATTGCCATTGCAACACCATTCACTATTATTGTGTCAACATCTATCATCTTCCTCATCTGGTACCTTTACAAAAGAAACAAAGAGGATCACTCTGTGCATCGCTTTACAGACACATTCTTGTCGATTACAATGCTGTTGCTGTATTTGACCTATGCAAACACTTGCTCAAACATATTGGCGGTCGGACCGTGGTCAATTCGTACGTTTAATGTTACAGAGGATGGTGATGAAAAACGAGTGTTAACTTCTGACTACTCTATCGATATCGATGAATCTAATGGTTCAAAATACGAGACTAACAAGAACATCGTTTATGGTTCGTTGGTGTATGTTATTGGTTTTCCACTTGCTATTATTCTGATATTGTACTGTAGATACAAACGTCATGGTGAACGATCTGGTACCATGGGAATGAGGTTCTTCTGCAAGCAATATAGTCCCAAGTTTTGGTACTGGGAGGTAATTGATATGTACAACAAGGCTATACTCGCCCTCATCGCTAACTTCAAGGACGACCAGCCCTCCAACATGTCATATTCCCTCTTCATTACAGTCATCCTCATAGCATTGCATTTGTATCTTGAACCATTAGGGAAGAAATCTGATCAGAGGTTCCAGTTGTTGACACTTGTCTTCATTATTGTCAACTTGTCGGTTGGCGCAATTCTTGACATGGAAGCGTCCGGAGGACACTCGGTGTACACCACAGATAAAACAATATTAGTGCTCCATGACATCACACCCTACATCCTTTTGCTGCTCAATCTGTCAATTCTGTTTGTAGTTTTTGGTAAGTTTTCATTTTTTCCCTGGTTATTATACTTACATTTTATTTGTTTTATAAAACCAAGCGTAGTCATTAGTTATCTAATGATAATAAAATCAATCATTTTTTTTTTGATAATAAAAGTTGATCTGCTTAAAAAAGTCAAGGATAGCTTCTGGAGAAAATCGGCTAGCTTACAGGAACTCAGAAATGTTGCAAATGACGTGGATGATTCGGATGAACTTTCTCCACTAGTTCAAGATTTCGACAGCTTATCAACCTACAATCCCACGAATAATAACTAGTAGTTGTAAATGGCATATCAACGTTATAATCGTTTACCATACAATTTAGTAGATATATTATGGTAATGGACTTAATTTCAATAGCAAATGATAAAATACAGTGCATTCTTTCTACGCGCTCTTTACCCAGTATCAAGACAAGACAAAGAATACTACATAAAACAGGAACAGAGACAAATAAGAATTGTAAAAATAGATGAGATTTAACTCTGGACCAAAGATGAAGATGATTTTTTGAAATTGAGTAGGTCGATCCACAATAATAAACTATAGATATACATTATACATGTACACAGTCCCTATTTGATTTAATAGCAATATCTTTTTTTTACGATTTAAAACACGTGGTTAGGTACTGCGAGCAACTTCATTTTTCTCTACAAAGTAATGTTATCATATCTCTCTTTTAACCTAAAACTCGAAGAATCGGTTTTTACCCAAAACCACAAAGAACCGTTCTTAAAAAGTACGGTTCTTAAGAACGGGGTTTTCTCTTCTGTAGAAAAAGTCCAATACACGTCATTGTTTGTTGGAGCAAGTTTTGTCCATGTAACAGTCGGAATGTTCAGAACGTACTGTTTATGGTTTTAATCTCAATAATCAATTAATTTAGTAAATATACACTTGCGTGTCGTTTGTTGATGACGATTGACCTTGATACGGGCATGCGCAGCTAGAACTACGAATTTGCTTATTGAAATTTGGGACAATACATTTCTATATATTATTTGGATCATGACTCTTAAATTTGCTTTTAAATTATTTATGGATTTTCCTGTTAGATTAGCAATTGCGTTAGTTAATTTTTGACATCATTCGATAAGTAGGTAATAGAAATCTGACTCTCAGTGTAACATTGCTCTTTAAAATAAAGGTACCTTATTAGTTGTCGTTTGTTGATGACGATTGACCTTGATACGGGCATGCGCAGCTAGAACTACGAATTTGCTTATTGAAAATTGGGACAATACATTTCTATATATTATTTGGATCATGACTCTTAAATTTGCTTTTAAATTATTTATGGATTTTCCTGTTAGATTAGCAATTGCGTTAGTTAATTTTTGACATCATTCGATAAGTAGGTAATAGAAATCTGACTCTCAGTGTAACATTGCTCTTTAAAATAAAGGTACCTTATTAGTTATACGAAAAAATACTACTATTTGTATTGTATATATTACATGTTCTGAATAAGGAAATGTTCTATTGACAGGTTATGTCAAATACGATGTTTATACTTTTCTTTAATTTGGAAAATACTTCTACCATAATTTGATAATTTAGACGGGGCATATTTAAAAAAAATTGACATAAAAGCCTAATAGATCTTTATTGTTATTTTGTTTGATCACCAAGAATAATGATAAAATACATTGTTTAAAATAAAATATTGTTGGTATTTTTCTCAACATAAATTAGTGTACATATTTAAACGTATGATAGACATATCGCTAGAGTTAGCATTCATGTATAAGGTTCTATCTTAGCTATAATTAAGCCAAGTAAATATTATTAACGCTTTTTTAACTAAAATGTAATTAAAGGTAATTAAAGTAACTTCATTTGATTATTATATATTGCGTTTGTTGTTTAAAAAATGTGCTTATCTTCATTTTGTTGGTATTTACCAATAATCTATTCATTGACTTATATGCCTACTAGACTAAAATAATGTATCATTTTGCTTGAAGTTGTTTGTTATATCAGGGACTTACGTCTTTGGTAATATTGTACAACAGTATATCGGCTATGACATTATGCTTTAGATTTTAGCTGCAAATTAAGTGTATGGAAATTTGTTTTTGTACTTAGTCATACATGCTGTTATGACTACTGTTAACTGTTTTTATTTTTTAATTAATGTTTCAATGCAACAAAAAAAACAAAAACATGAATTTACCCAATTCATGTTAAAAGAAGAAGACATTACTACAAGGGAAACTTTAATAAGTATGATAACTAAGCAATAATACTATATCAACTATTCAAGCCTCATTCCAATTTGCAATTTCCAGCAAAAATGCATACGCGTTATTCTACTTATTATAAACCAGGTCATTTATTTGCATAATTTTTGTTTGACGCTAAAGGAGAATTAAAAAAGAGAAACAGAGACTCTATTTCTCATAATGTTCTTGACGACTTCTTTACTACGCAAATTCAGTGGTTGTATATTGCATCTGCTGGCATGGTCTCGCCAGCTGATTTTTGTGCATACATTATACAGTCAAAGCGTCCGGGGTAAGGAGACCGTGGCGCTTTGAAACAGGGACGCGTTGAAACAGTCTCAATAAATCTCTGATAGGCCTACGAACAAATTTTTTAAATTATCTGAATGCTCTGGCAACCTATAGACATAAACAAGCTATATATTAAAAATTAGTGCGATCCGACCAGTAAGTCAAGAAATAAAGGTTAAAGGTCAAAGGTTATTCATTTATATTGCGCAAATTACGAGATTCTTTATGCGCAGAATAAGTGAGCAGATGTAACTGGAAAAAAAAAATCCAAGTCAGCACCCAAATCGCTGAGCAGGGATCTCTCAAAATGTACCCTGTCCAACAGCAGTTTAGTCTCGGCCATCCCATTCTCACGCGCCTCCTATCCTGATAGAACTAATAAAAAATCTAACTGGCAAGGGATGGAAAAGGGAAAATCAAGAAAACGAAATAAGTGAGTTTTTAAATGAGATTTAAACAGAGAGACGGATGGCGACTCACGAATACATAACAGTAGAATATTCCATAATTTAAGAACAGCAACCATGAATGAACGCTCCCCACACGACTTTAACCCGCAGGGTGGACTATAAAGTGTAGTCAAATTGGATGTTGATCTGAGGGTACGAGCACATGTTGAGGAGCAAGACATAAGCCGGCGTCACACGGTCAGATTTGTACAAAAATGTTGGTACAGTTTTTCATTTTTACAGGAGTAGGTAGACACTTAATATTCCCTAGCCACACTGTTAAATTGTTTGATATATAACTTGTCAGCCCATAATAATTTTAGGGACAATCTTTATTAAGGCCAAGTAAAATTAGGCCACTTGATATTTCAACACCCAGACGTTTTTAGTTTATGTTCAATATGGATGTAAATTTGTTAGTTACTGTGGTCAGTTTTGTATATTTGGTAAATGAAATGGAAAAGAAAAAGAAGGTTAAGAGATTAAAAAAAATACAAGTACTTGGGTTAGGCCGTTGATTCAAAAACGAAATAAATATTTAGCATATCATGGTCTATTAAAAGAGTTGAATGCTGGCGATAAGGGAGAATACAATAACTTTCTCCGAATGGATAAGTCGTCCTTTGATGATATTTTGCAAAAAACTCTTTCCTCTTGATAGCACTCAATTAAATCTGTGGAGATTTTTTTTTTTTTTGGCATTTTTTTTGTATTTTCTTCTATTTCTATGCAGATCCCTACCATTTCCTAAAGCAAAGCAAAGTTTGTAGTAAAATCACAGATTTGGAACGCAAATCATGTAAGCCCCATTAATCATTTTTGCACTGGATGAATATTTGAAGTCAAAAACTGACCGTGTGACGCCAGCTTTATAAGTTGAGAAATGTATTTAGGAGATAACTGATGAATGTATTTGTAAACAAACAATAAAATTTGGAAATCAATACACTTCTTCACGTGCAACCAATGAAGATGACGGAGTACTGGTGTGATGTATGTTGACGTTTAGGTGTTCCAGTAACCAACCGAGCAACGATGTTAATTAGCAGCTGAAGCTTATTAATTGAGGATTGAAGCAGTCCGTAGAGGACCCCATTACAATATTCCAATATGGATGTTACTAAGGTGTGTACAAGTTTAGAAGCAGCATCTTCGTTCGAAATATCGTTATTTATCGATTATAACACCTGGTAAGTAACTATTATCGATATAACTTTATTATAAATAACACCTAGAATATAATATAGTTTACTATTTCAATGAATATGAATATATTTTTAAAAAGTCATGTTAATGCTTGTTTATTCACAGTATTGTTTTTGGCCATGTGAGTCGAGATTACGAGACACAAAGGCCGATAGTGCCTTTGGAGTACGTTGAAACACCGTGTTTCAGTGCACCCTATATCATGGTATAATGTAATTTAATTTGTTAATATTTTTTTGTCACATAAAATTAAGTGGTATCACGATAATCGTATTAAACCTACATAATATTCAGAATATAATTAAATGTTATCATCATTGTTCTTACTGTATGTTATTTTAAATATTGTACGGTAATAAATCAGATAAAAAAAGATATAAATAAATACTAGTGCAAGTTAAAGTCCTAAAAAATATAGTCAATGACTAAGTTAGTATTTGCCTATAGTCACTATTTTGCCGAATTTATTAAATATATATTATATTTCAATTCTATATTATAATGTATAAGCCTTGACAGTTGTGTTTTTTTATATAGATTCATCACCATACGGAACAGGCCATCGAAAAATGAGAGGTTGATTATCCCGAGTTATTAAAGCGAGCAGCCCCAGTGTAGTACTTTTATTTAGAGAAGAAGTGTGTTCGGTTGTAGCAGCCGATTTTGATGGTGTAATTAGGTCCTTTGGTGAACAGATGTGAATAAAGTATACAACTGATACTATTCCATTTATTAGAATGGAAATAACATTAGCGTATAGGCCAATATCTGCTAACCAATTACTATTCATATTTCAAACCTGTATTTCTAAAAATATAATATAATATGTCATACATAGGATTACGAGATACATGATAAGTCGTATAGTAGAGATGTGGGTTAACCACATCTCTATATTTGCACAAGTAATTTAAATTGTTTATTGAGCAAATTAATCTTACTGATAAACAATTGTACTACAATGAGCTGGTGCATATGAACGTCTATTTACGAGACATAATTTCGTTATTTTCTTTCCAAAAAAAAAAAAAAGTAATAAACGTTAACTAGCACCTCATATCAACTTTTGAATGGTGAAAGTAAGCTCAGTATAATCCATTTTACCGAGTATAAAATTTAAGTTAGTAGAGCATACTGCTGTTCTCTTTCCCCCCACCGTTGTATTTAGGTGGTACACGTTACAGTACACACAATGAGCCTACAACTATGTGTCTGAGTTAACGCATGAATGGTTTTAAGTACCTTCTTAGGACTTTTTCCTACCCCACATCTCTATCTAATTTTGCTGAGAGTTTTACTTGAACAATTTTGTGTAACTTTTGGTATCTGCGCATGACATGTTTTCATTGCAGGATTTATGTGTTGAGAAGTTGAGCATAATCTCGACTGACTAAATCACAATTGTTACAATATTTTCATGTATTAAGAAGTTATTAACATTTCACTGGGAAAGAAATTAATACGTTATAGTTAACTTTTCCAAATATTTTTTGTTATTTCCTAATAATTGTTTTTATTGGAGGGTAACCCAGATGTGTGCACTGTTTTACACTGGGCCGCTTATCATCACAATACTCTACATGAATTTTGTAATTAAACACATACAAAGAAAATCATGAATTAAAAAAAAAAATATTGAAGGAAATAAAACTGCAGAAAACAATAGTGTAGATCTTAATACACTTCAAAAAGTCTATTGAGTGAAAGTAAGTAAACATTATTTCGAAAAAACAGCCTTCTAAAGGTATTTGTGAATACATTGTTTACTGGAATTAACTACCAAAATAATGTTAATAATCATTTGTTGACCATTCCCACAACTAGACATTGGGACATGATTAATTGATAGCAAGCTATATTAAATGATCTACCGTGACAATAATGTAAAGTGTGCTGCAAATAGAAATATAAAATCCAAAAACAGATGAGCATAATATAGGTACATAAAAAGAAAATGACAATAACATAT